CCCCCATAGCCCCCAGACCCAAAGGAGCCCCTATAACAACGGGAGACCCCATATCCAAAGGAGCCCCCATAGACCTGGGAACCTCCATAAGGTCCCCACCCAAAGGAGCCCCCAGAACCTCCAGCCCCAAAGGAGCCCCCATAGCCAGAGGAGCCCCCCAAGTGTCCATAACCTCCAGCCCCAAAGGAGCCCCCATAGCCAGAGGAGCCCCCCAAGGCCAGAGGGCCCCCGTAACCCCCAGCACCTCCCAGCCCAAAGGAGCCCCCAGAGCCAGAGGAGCTGCGGGAACTGAAGGAACGCCCCAGCCAGGCTGGGCCCGACGATCCCACGAAGCTCTCCTGAGGGAAGGTGCTGAGCAGGGGGCCCGGGAAGGTCACCACCACCGGCGGGGGCTGGATCAGGGCTCTGGAGTCGGGACACTGCTGCACACACGGCTCGTTGGAGCTCTCGGCGATGGGCTGCGGGCAGCTCACCCCACAGGACTCGTTGGAGTAGGACATCCTTCTCTGCTGGGCGGCTGCAACGCACAGCAGGAAGGAATTTTAAGCTAAACTGGCTGAGAAGAACCAAAACTGAGCTCTCTGTGTCTGAAATATCAAAGGATAACAGATAAATTCGAAGGTGATATCAAAGAAATCTCATTATTGCACCAACTCCACCTTTAACCTTCCTCTCACCATGATCATCCTCGCAAGAGAAATTCTGTGCTGGATAAATTAAAGGAATCTGTAGCAACCTGTGGCAAAGATTCACTCAAAGGTGTAAGACCAGCGAGAAAGAAGCCAAGAGGAAGAGGAAAAAAGGCTCACAGACTTTGTGTAGAAATTCAGATTTTAAGAATACGAGCGACACCACTTACCTTGCTCGCTGCAAGGGTGGGAACGAGAGGAGTGGATGAAGGGCTGTGGGTGAGCTGAGCTTTTATATCCTCCTCAAAGCCACGCTTCGTGCCTCCCGTCCTCGTTTATTACAAAACCAAGGCGATACTGGGTGCTTCGATTCTGTCACCTCAGCACTGTCCCTCCCAAACTCGAGTGGCTGTGACACAACTGCTGATGGCAATCAGCTCCCTCTGAGGGTGATTTGAGGGGATTTGGGGAACTTGGGGCTCCATTAAAGCCAGTTCTGCTTTAGTCCAGTTTTAATGTTGTCGCGTTTTATTGGGACATCTTAATGGCCAAGGTGACTTCCATGGTCACCACAGAGCCCTTTGTGGTGCCACCTTCACCAGGTGAAGGTCACCCAACCAGACCTAAAATTGTGGCTCTGAGAGGACACAAATTCTCCTTGTAGCTGAGTTGGGATCTATAAAAGTTGTCCCCAAAGAGGCAGAAATTGGTACAGCCAGAAGAGACCTCGGCCTAAATCTAATTCCAAACATTTCACAATTTCATTTGAAATCTCAGCTTTAAGAAGTTCAGTTAGAAATACATTAAAAATCTTTATTTTCTTTCCCTCCACCCCCGAAGTACTGACCACAGAAAAAAGAAAGAATTTAATAAAGCAGTAATAAAATAATAACATATTTTATTAGGACGAGTCTGGTACATCCTGCAGATATTTATTTTCTTTCCTCTTGCAATTGTTTTCTAATTTTACGGTATTGCAAAAGGGAGGCAATAAATTAAATCTAAATTGTAAAATAGCTCTGCTTCTGAAATGTCATCAGGATTTGCTGATAATAGTGAGAGGCACCTGGAGGATAATGACTTCAATCTTCCTCATAAATACTCATTAATAGTCAGGGCTTGCAATTTCTGTTATTATCCTATTAAATGAAGGACGGGAGTTATGAGGATTTATTCGGAGTTAGGAGCTCCCTTGTTATGAAACAGCATCATTTAAAAATATCAATCAATGTCACTCCTCTGGATTCCCTAACCAACCTCTGATTAATAATTTCAGTGCTGGCAATTATTTGATTTTCATTCATGAGCTCAAATTCTTTGTATTATTAACTATTAATGAGTTTGGGATGATTATGACAAGTACGTCATCTGGCACACCAAGTGCAGCTTCTTCTGAATTTATGAGGCAGCTTTTTGCTGAAACATCCTGAATTTTAGGGGAGAAATAAAAGCCTGATTGCAAATTATCTGAATTTTCAGGCTTAACGATCAGTGTTCTGTATCTCATGGTCCTGGAAGGATCTGGAACATCCCCAAAGTGTCACTGCCTCCGTGGCATTCCAAAGCCAGCAGGGAATGGAGCAACGGAACCCATCTTGGAATTGCTGAGCAATTAATGGTGTTTGAGCTGCAAACACGGATCTCAAAACTCCTCAGGTTTCTAAAGCATTTGGAGATAATTGACATTCTCTTCATTTCTGGTACCCGTCTCCTTCTTTTCGTGCAGCTTCCATGGGTTTTCACAGGATTCACTTAACACCCACCAATTATCAAAAGGCTAATTAATCTGAACTCATCGAACCTAAAGACAGGGCTCACGATGGGGATTATCACTTCATCACCCACCACCTCGATGCCCTCAAGTCTGTCATGACACGGCCTCACGCCCGTTTTCTGCGCGTGGGGAGTGGCAGTGCAAAGCCAGCAGAATTAAATCCCTCCACGCGAGGGTGGTGGGACCGGAGGCACGGAGGGCGTTTTGTCCTTGTAAGCACTTTGGGAAATGTATAAAAGCTGCCACCACTCCACATCTCCTCCACACACATCTCCATCCACATCTCCTCAGTTATTCGCCTCGGTGAACAGGGTAAGTCCGATTTCAACTCTATCCTTCTCTATCCCTCTCTTTTCCCACCCAATTCATTGATGTTATGGATTGGCAGATTAAGAAACTGTGTGTCTCAGAAGGCTGTTCTAGAGTAAAATGTGAATTTTCACCATGCCACTTGGAATAACCATTTCCCAGGCATTTTAGGTCCAATGCGTGACTGTAAAATTTAAAAATATCCGAGCGATCATTCCCACCTTGTGGGAATATTTGTTCCATAAGGGTAAATTTTCTGGTTTGGAAGCTGAGAGCTACTTGGAATAGGATATGAAACTATAAAAATTGCAGCTTTGTATCTGACACTTCTTAACTTCCAATAGAAACATGGCTAGATTTCAGCTGCTCTTAATAAATTTCTATAGAGATAAAACCAGATTTGTCACAGTGTAAGAAGTGTGGGATTCACCAGAGATGACACCAGATGTTTTCATCTCTGTGGAACATCTCGGGGATCTTGACAGCAGACAGTCTGGAATGTGATTTTTGTGGCCAGATGAGGGTCAGGTTTGGAAAGCAGTGAACTCCGGGCTCTCAAATATTCCATGAGAAAGAACAGGCGGAAATTTCTAGAGATGAAACCTTACTCCTGCTGTGCGTTGCAGCCGCCCAGCAGAGAAGGATGTCCTACTCCAACGAGTCCTGTGGGGTGAGCTGCCCGCAGCCCATCGCCGAGAGCTCCAACGAGCCGTGTGTGCAGCAGTGTCCCGACTCCAGAGCCCTGATCCAGCCCCCGCCGGTGGTGGTGACCTTCCCGGGCCCCCTGCTCAGCACCTTCCCTCAGGAGAGCTTCGTGGGATCGTCGGGCCCAGCCTGGCTGGGGCGTTCCTTCAGTTCCCGCAGCTCCTCTGGCTCTGGGGGCTCCTTTGGGCTGGGAGGTGCTGGGGGTTACGGGGGCCCTCTGGCCTTGGGGGGCTCCTCTGGCTATGGGGGCTCCTTTGGGGCTGGAGGTTATGGGGGCTCCTCTGGCTATGGGGGCTCCTTTGGGTCGGGAGGTTCTGGGGGCTCCTTTGGGTGGGGACCTTATGGAGGTTCCCAGGGCTATGGGGGCTCCTTTGGATATGGGGTCTCCCGTGGTTATAGGGGCTCCTTTGGGTCTGGGGGCTATGGGGGTTCTGGGGGCTTCCCGGGCTATGGGGGCTCCCTTGGATATGGGAGCTCCCAGGGCTATGGGGGCTCCTTTGGCCTGGGAAGCTGTGGGGGCTATGGGGGCTCCCTGGGGGGCTATGGCGGCTCCCTGGGGGGCTATGGGGGCTCCTTTGGCAACAGCTCCGGCTTCTCCTCGCGGGGCCTGGGCTATTCCCTGCCCGGCTCCCAGGGATGGGGCAGGTCCCGCCGCGGGAGCTGTGGGGTTTTCTAAAGCCCCCCTGGCAGTGCCAGCCCTGGAGCCCAGCCCGGGCCTTGGGGACAGCGGGCAGGAGCCACGGGCAGCGGCAGCTGAGTGTGGCCAGCAGCCCCGGCTGTGCCCTGAGCCCTCCATTCCCCCGGGATTCCCTGATCCCTCCATTCCCCCGTGATTCCCTGATCCCTCCATTCCCCCGGGATTCCCTGATCCCTCCATTCCCCCGGGAATGTCCTGATCCCTCCAATCCCCCGGGATTCCCTGATCCCTCCAATCCCCTCGGGAATGTCCTGATCCCTCCATACCCCCGGGAATGTCCTGATCCCTCCATTCCCCCGTGATGCCCTGATCCTTCCATTCCCCCGGGATTCCCTGAGACCCCCATCCCCTCTGTTGCCCCCTGAGCCCCCCATCTCCTGGCTGTATCCCGCTCCCAGAACACGAGTCCTGCATCCCCCGCTGTCCCTGGGATCTCCTGGATTCCCTGCACTCGGCTGTCGCTCTTTTCTCTGACATTAAACCCCTTTCTGTGCTGCGCAAAAGCCTCTCTGGTTTTCATTTGTCCTTTATTTTTTCCCCTGGGGGGGATGTTCACTCCTGTGCAGGAGTTGCCTGGAGTTCCTCACTTGGCCAAGGCCCTTGGCTCTTCCTGACTTGTGAAAAGAGGCCAAGAGAGGCAGGAATGGTTTGCAGGAGAGTTTATTGTGGGGAGCAGGGCGGGAGGGGCTGGCAGAGGGGCGCTGGGCAGGCCCCAGGCAGGCCGGGTGTCACGGGCTGCAGGAGGCCGGGGCAGCTTGTGGCGAGCTCAGCTTGTGCGGGCTGGGCTGAGGCGGGCGCGGCTGCTCGGGCTGGCCTCTGGCGGCTCTAGCAGGGCCCGCAGGTGTCCCAGAGCTTCTTGCTGTAGCGGGGCAAGGCGCAAGGGCTGCAGGCGGGAGCAGCGTAGGCTCTGCCAAAGGTGCACAGGCCCCCCGAGGCCTGGGTGGCGCCGGCGCCGTAGAGGCCGCCCAGCCCCAGGGAGCCGCCAAAGGCCGGGGCTCCGGAGGAGCCCACCACGGCTTGCTGGGGGAAGGAGCTGAGGATGGGGCCGGGGAAGGTGACCACCACGGGCGGCGGCTGGATCAAGGCCGACGAGTCGGGGCACTGGCGGGCGCACAGCTCGTTGCAGCTCTCAGCGATGGGCTGGGGCACGGCCACGCTGGTGCGGGGAGGACACAGGTCGTAGCAGGACATGTTGGCGTGAGAGACGAGATGAGGCTGAAAGGCAATTGGGACAAGCAGCGGTTACAAGCAGGGGAGACAAGGGCAGCTCCCGCATCAGCAGCGCCCCGTTCCCTGAGCGGCCAAAGCCCCCCAGCCTTGGCCAGCCTGCCCGGCACTGGCCCCGTGCCCTGCAGCCCCCTGAGAGCCGCGATGATGATGGCCAGAGGCAGAGAGCTGCCAAAAATCCCTGCCCGAGTCAGTCCCTGTGCCCGGCCCGGCTCCGTCCCAAGGGGTCAGGGCAGGACATCTTGACAGGGTAAAGGTTGGCTTGAAACAGATGTAGATATAAAAACTATCAAGAGCAGCAAGCTGATGACAGAATTTTTCCCAAGGATTGGAATCGCTGCGTTGCGTTTTATGTTCAGCCTTGAGCGACATGGTGAACACACACTGAGTGCCTTGATCAAAAAGTTCCTGCCTCTGTAAAACCATCCCCAGCATGGCCCGACCCCACAGACTGATCTTTGTTCTGGCCCCACATGGTTGTGTCTTTCAGCTTTTGGAAATGCCAACCCTGAAGAAAAATATAAAAACCTCAGTCCCGTCTCAAATAAACTTCCCCAAAGTGGGGATAGAGCCCTGAATTAGATGTGGCTTTCTGTGGAACTGGAAGGTTTGTTAAGACTCTGAGAATGCCACTGGACTCACCTGAAAAGGGTCTCAATGCTCACCTTGAATTTTATAAAATACTGAAATAATCACCTGAAATCACTGTTTTAATCTGTGGCTTTTAAAAGCTGCTAATTGGCTTGGAACACTCAAATGTCTCAGAATTTCTGTGCTCACACCCAGACTCCCAAATCCCACATTTTCCACCGGTTCCACTAAGAGCAATTCCAGACAGAAGCGATGTAAAGCTGTTCTAAATCTCAGCCTTCCTAAAGGAATCTTCTACAACTTCTCTGCTACAAGCTCTGATTAAATAAATAGAAAGAAATGAAAAATTCATACTCACTGAGCTCTGCAAGGCGAATGAGCTTGAGAAGTGTCTGGATGGACCCAGGCACTGGAGCTTATATAGAGGATCCCGACATTCCTGAGGGTTTGGAATCTTGCTTGGGATGGGGGTTCTGCCTCTACCAGCTTTGAGTCACAAAAGTTTGGAGTTTGCGGCAGTTCTGATTCCATTCACATTCTCCTATCGTGTGATGTCGGAGTTTCACCATCCTGATTTCTTTAATCTTGGGTCTTAATTGGCGCTGGCAACTCCTGGAATCATTAGAGTGACCTCACTGGAATTACCACGTTCATTAAGCTGACTCCACATGTTACTTCTTCCTTTACAACCTTGTCATGAGCTCGTCTGCTCCAAGATTTTGTAAGACTCATCTTTGGCTGACATGGACATTTTTTCCTTAACAGCCCTTTAAAATTATCTGATAAATTAATTAGAAGCAGAAACCAGCTTATTCCAGGACTACCCAGGAATAAACGTCTTTTCCAGCCCTAATTAAAGAGAACTTGCTGGTCTGAGTTGTATTTAAGGGGTCATGAATATCTGCTGAGATCATCCAGGACACTCAGCAATTCCACAATAGTTTTCCATTGAGAGGGAGTTTTGAAATCAATCCCACATTTTTTTAGCTAAAAACCTTTCAGTGGGAAATGAAATTCAGTTTTAAAAGGGTCGGTGGTGCTGAATGTTCCCCTATCAAATCTTGTGATTCCAATTCTGAGGAAAAATCAGAGAGGCAGATCAAGGTTTTTCTTTAATGTTGTGGGTGTAATCTGTTATCAGGAGTGTTCTGGCCCTTCTTGAGAAAAATACTTTGCAATGATTTCACAAACAGTCATTACATGGTGTTCAACTCAGCTAATACTCGGTGTTGTATGACATGGGTGATTTAGACATTTCACTCTTACACAACCCCAGCTGCTTTAATGTGCAGGAAACAAGGTGGTGCCTGCCATTACTTTAATTAAATCATGATTTGTGCCATTGGAAGTCAAGGGTTAATAATTAATGCAGCTCTTGTTTTTATTTCTTTTAAAAAAAATCCTTTCCATATCCGTGATTGAATCCTCTGTGAGGTTAAGATTCAACCTTTACAGTATTTGTCTTATTTCAAACTATATTTTCCATAAAAAATAAATATTTGCTATTATTTACCCTTTCTCTGTGATTTTTCAGAGCACAACTTTTAGGTTTTCACCTGTATCCAGTGCATTTTACAGACCCTTCTTGTCATTCCTGGAGAAATTCCCCACCAGAGATGAAATGTCTGCTCTTAATTCCTATGCTGTTGGTTGTTGTGGTCCAGATTCACCCCAATATTTTAATTTTCTCCGCAAGTGATAAATATTTGGGTTTAGGTTTGTGTTTTGCTTGCTGCCCCAACAAATTTCCCTGTATTTGCTGCAGGGAAAAGGGAAAAAAAAACCCGATTCTGCAAGCACAGGAAAGGATTGAGTGGTTCCCACATCTCCCAGCCTGGGGGAGATTTCTTTGCCTTGATTTATATTTTACATAAATCTGACAGTCAGAGCAAGTTGTGCCTCATCCCTGGCTCAGGGCACAAACTCCTTTCAAATCCGTTTCTCTTGGGCTGCATCAAAACCCCGTGGGCAGCAGGGGAGGGGGGATTCAGCCCTGCTCAGGTGAGACCCCACCTGCAGAGCTGCCCCAGCCCTGGATCCCGGCCCCGGGAGGAGCTGGAGCTGCTGGAGGGAGCCCAGAGGAGGCTCCAGGAGGATCCGAGGGATGGAGGAAAGGCTGGGAGAATTGGGATTGCTCCTTTTGGAGAAGGGGGAGCTCTGAGGTGACCTCACGGTGGCCTGGCAGGACCTGAAGGGGCCACAAGGAACGCGGGGAGAGACAATTCCCAAGGGATGGAGTGCCAGGGCACGGGGAATGGGCTCAGACTGACGGGGAGGGGGTTTAGATGGGATTTTGGAGATAAATTATTCCCTGTGAGGGTGGGGAGGCCCTGGCACTGGATAATCCACGGCTGCCCCGTCCCTGGAAGTGTCCAAGGACAGGTTGGACAGGGCTTGGAGCAGCCTGGGGTAGTGGAAGGGCAGGGTGTGGAATGAGATGATTTTAAGATCCAACCCAAACCATTCCATGATTCTGTGATTGCCTCTCTCTACTTTGTATTAAAAACGCCGCGATTTCAGCGGTCTCCGAACTACAACATTTATTTTGGGGGGGGTTCCAGTGAGGAAAGCCTCCCGCTATTTGCAGATTTTTCTCGAGCCTCTGAGGAGCAAGGGCTGTGAGAGCACTTGGGAAGCGCCGAGTAATGACCTCTGCTCGCCGTATTTTTGTTTTACTGCGCCTCGCATGTCCCAGGGCTGAGTAACAGCGCCCAGAGGAAGCAGGGAGGAGCTGCCAGGCACCTCAGCCCTGATCAGATCGCTCGTAGCCGCTGGGTTTGGCCAGACCGGGCCCTGCCCTGCTCTTACTTTCCCTTTTGTGTCATCCAGGGCAGCCTCTCACAGTGGCTGCGGCACTCCCAGCCCTTTCCAGTGGCTCTCCAGAGATTTAAACAACCAGAAATGGTCAAGTTCAACACCACGTAACGAGAGGGTAAGACTTCAAATGAATGCTCATCACCATTTAAGACAACAAGAGACGAAAGCAACACAAAAATTCGATGCATAAGAGATTTATTGCAGAAAAAAATGTGAATAAATCACACAGACAGTACAAAGAAAAGCATAGAAAAACAAGGACGACATAGAGAACAGAACAACTGAAGCCAAAATTTTTAAAATATGCAGTTCTCAACAATCAGAGCTAAATAAATGGAAATAAAACATGAGGTTGATATAAACGACATAAAAAATAAAGATCAAAGATAAGGAAAGAACAATGAAATTATTATACATAACACATTACTAAAAGAGAATATAAAGAATTAGATGCTCAAACTGGACATAAAGCAAAATAATAAGCAACGGAAAAGAAGAGGTTTAAAGAAAACACTAATGGCGACAGTAATGGGATGAAAAATATCGGGATTTCTCCATTGCTGACACATAAAAAAGCCCTCTGGCGGCTCTAGCAGGGCCCGCAGGTGTCCCAGAGCTTCTTGCTGTAGCGGGGCAAGGCGCAAGGGCTGCAGGCGGGAGCAGCGTAGGCTCTGCCAAAGGTGCACAGGCCCCCCGAGGCCTGGGTGGCGCCGGCGCCGTAGAGGCCGCCCAGCCCCAGGGAGCCGCCAAAGGCCGGGGCTCCGGAGGAGCCCACCACGGCTTGCTGGGGGAAGGAGCTGAGGATGGGGCCGGGGAAGGTGACCACCACGGGCGGCGGCTGGATCAAGGCCGACGAGTCGGGGCACTGGCGGGCGCACAGCTCGTTGCAGCTCTCAGCGATGGGCTGGGGCACGGCCACGCTGGTGCGGGGAGGACACAGGTCGTAGCAGGACATGTTGGCGTGAGAGACGAGATGAGGCTGAAAGGCAATTGGGACAAGCAGCGGTTACAAGCAGGGGAGACAAGGGCAGCTCCCGCATCAGCAGCGCCCCGTTCCCTGAGCGGCCAAAGCCCCCCAGCCTTGGCCAGCCTGCCCGGCACTGGCCCCGTGCCCTGCAGCCCCCTGAGAGCCGCGATGATGATGGCCAGAGGCAGAGAGCTGCCAAAAATCCCTGCCCGAGTCAGTCCCTGTGCCCGGCCCGGCTCCGTCCGGCCCGCCCAAGGGGCTCCTTCCTCGCTCATCCCGACGAGGCTCGGCCGGGCCTGGCCGGGCCAGGCTGCTGCCAGCACGGCCGCTGCCCCGGCAGCTCCGCTGGCCACCGAGGGCCCTGGGCAGCCCCTGGGCCAGGAGGCAGAGCCCCGCAGGCACCCACCTGCCCTTGGGCTGAGCAGAGCGAGGCCGCAGCGGTGGATGCAGCCCTGGCCCGGGACAGCGCTTTTATGGGCGGCCGCAGAGGCGGGGCAGGGGCTGCCCACGCTGGGGCCGCGCCTGCGGGGCCAAGGCGGGCTCGGCCCTGCTGCCGCGGGGCTCTTCTGCTGACTCCTGCCTTTCCTGGCCGGCCCCAAGCTGCACCATCAGCGCCTGCAATTAGCCCGCTGCCACGCTGCAGCCCCAGGCAGGCAGCGCCTGCCCTGGGCCACCCGCTGGCCCTGAGGGCCACCGGGCACAGCCGAGCCAAGGCCCGAGGAAAGGCAGCTCCGCTGGGGCCCTGCCTGCTCAGCACCCTGCAGCACCCGACAGTGCAGCACAGCTGGCCTCCAGCTGCCCCCGGCCGCTGCCCGCCACCTCTGGGACACAGGCGACAAAGAGCCCTCGTGCTACTGAGCCCTGAGCTCCGCGGGACAAGGATCAGAAAGGCCCGGGAAGCGCAACACACTGTAGGGCTCTCTCAGCCCCGGCCAGAGCCCCTCCGAGCCCTCACATGAGCCCCCGGAGCCAAATTGCTGGGTGCCATCAGTGCTCTCAAGGCTGTGACGCGGCAGGAAGGACAGGATGGCTTGGGCAGCGGGAGGTGCTGGGCTGGCAGCTGGGGGATGCTGACTCAGGGAGGGGCAGGGGGGCACAGCCCTGGTGTCAGCAGCAGCAGGAGCAGGAGCAGGAGCAAGAGCAGGGAGTGTCCCCTGTGCAGATTGGCCCGGCTGGAGCTGAGCAATGGCCCGGCTGCTATAAAAGCCGTGCCTGGGCCAGCCGGGGCCAAGCACTGCCCTGGCCACCTTCTCCTCCTCGGGGACAAGGGTAAGTGTGCGAGCGCTTGTGCCCGCGGCTCCCGGCTCCAGCCCGGCGGCCCCTGGGGCTCGGCCGCTGCCTGTGCCGCTCTCCCTCCCGCCACGGCTGCCCTCTCTTGCAGAGCTCGCTCGGATCCCAGGCCAAGATGTCCTGCTACGACCTGTGCCCCCCCAGAAGCAGCGCGGACCTGTGTCCCCCCCGCACCAGCGTGGCCGTGCCCCAGCCCA